TGTAACCATTAATTTGTTTTTTAACCATTCAAGTTGTTTAACTGACAGAGGAATGTACATTTCAGTTAGGTGTGTAGCTAAATGCACCATATGCTAATGTTGTGGTATCAAACATAGATGGTTTGAAGAAACGAACGATCCTTAAAAACAAAATGTTGTACAGCATGTTGGTGAAGGAACCAACAGCTTAGCAATCACAGCGATCTTAAAGAAAGGACCTGTTGTGGATAGAAAATATTGTGGAGATATAGCTGTGATACTGTATACATAAAACTGAAGATCTGTGCCAACACCTGAAGTACTGCCATCCATGAAGCATACATAATGCCATTAGTACAGTGTAAGAGTTTACAGTCTTCACCACATCACACCAGCAATTAGACCCATTCAATGAAACAAGCAGCAAGCCACTCTGAGAAACCCCAGCAACAAACCCAGCTGGTGTTCAATTAATGCCTGGGTCTCTTAGAGCCAGAATAAACAATAAAGGCTAGCGTCTTGTAAAGGCAGGGGGGAAACACTGAGTGGGGTGGAATTACTCACTAACATCACCCTACTGTACATTTCCACAGCACTAATTCCATCTGTACAAGTCATGTCGTACAACTCTAATTACAACACGTTCTCCTTTTAACACAAAACTCTTTTCATTCTTCAATTCATTCTAGTTTTTCCACTTTGCAATTTTTCTCAAAAGATGTTAAAGAGCAACATAAAGATGGAATTCTTTAAACTAAATTTATACTTTTGAACACAGTGTAAGCTAGCGTTTGACCATCCAATTAAGTCTTTTTCAAGGTGGACATAAAACTCCATTACAAAAACAACTCCTGATGTTACTGTGGTGTATGTAGATGTATTTCTTTATTATTTAGTTGCTCTTTATGCTAGTGTCAATGAAACTCAACATTTCCTGCTAAATTAAATCAAATTTAAAGCCTACCAATATAAAGGGATGACTGAAATACTTAGTTTCTTAAGGATATCAGATGAAAGTGCACCTTGAGTTAATTTTGTGTTATTGCTAACCTTTATGCTGTAAAGCATTCACAACATATGTTCTTCTATCGGTTTCGGAATTCTTTATTTTTATTATTATTATTATTCCGCCTGTTTTTTGCAACCTAACTAGTTCCACAGGTTTTAACGTAGAAACATCATTCAAAGCTTAAAATATTCATCTCAATTAGGAATCAAGCGCTCAGAATTTTGATAACCTTCATACTTTTCAAGATATTCAAGGTTTTCCAGGCATTTTTCCCCATTCAAGTGAATGGACGGAATGTTCAAAATTTCCCCATTTTCACACTTTTTCAAGGTTTTTCAACTGTTAACTACTCATTCATACTTTCAGCTAGAAACTCCATTCCAAATGGAAAAGTTTCCACATCTTTCCTTGTTTTTTCGCATTATTCAACTTTCAAATCCTATTCAAACTCTTCAATCTATTCAAGTTTCCTTGAAACTTTGTTATAATGAAAGTCAATGAGAAAATCGTTCAAACTCACTGATCTTCAACCTCTTCCCACTAATTCATACATTCACATAGATACGCCATTCCACCTTTAAAACGTTCACAAACCTTTGGACTATTTCCAGTTAATTCAACATTTCCACATCTTTTATACTTTTTACACAATCTCAATTCAAGTTTCATGTCGTTTCAGACTCTTTTTTGAGTTTATAATGAGTGTCTATGGGACGGAATGTTGGGAGTTAGAGTGCGTGACATCATCGCTAGACGGCAGGAAGCTTAAAATCTTATCTTAAAAATGTATTTTTAACTCGCAGCCCTGACCACAATTTTAAGTCTTCAGGCATTATTTTATACTAGAAATGTAGGTATTTTTGTTGTGGTTCCTCACATGTGTTTAATAAATCCCTCAGACTTACAGATTTGTCTCTGTGTGCTTCCAAAGGACTAGAGTGCCAGCCAACTCCTCCATAGGCCGCCATTATAAATTCTCCACAAATGCCTTCTGTTGCTGCTGGTCAGGTCATTTTGCCGATACAACCTATAATTTTGTTTCAATGGAGGTTTGTTTGACAGAAAGTCTCAGAAGGATTTTCCTATCTGTTTCTATTGTAGAGCTGGTTACCTTGGGGACGTAAGTTAGCTGAAGGACTGGGTCCTCTGTTCTGATTGGTGGACTGAAATTAATACTGGCCAAAGCTCTACTCTTGGCTCTTAATGATGTCATACAGAGCTTTCCATATACGGTAATTTGCCTGCAGCCTCAATAATAACTGGCAACTCCTATGCTTAGTTTGTCTCGACCGCAGGGCGGCATAATCATCCTGCTTCAGGATCTTGGCCAATCAGAACACAGTGGGCTTTTGGAGGGGAAGGGGGGGAGCTTAAAGTGACAGGAGCATCTACTGCTTGTTTAAGAGGCTGAAATGAGAGCTTGCATGAAGTTTAGCAATCCAGTTTAGCATCAGCCTTCAACAGCCAGTATTCACACCGCAATTTCTCCAGAAATTGCACTGTCTAGTTTGTTGTTGTTTGATATCCGTTTATTACTGCTGGCTGTGAGTCATATTGCCCCTCGGGGATAATAAAGTTACCTTGCACCTTGAATGTAATCTTTGATATACTGTATTACTGGCTACTGCTAAATTGGCCATTGTAAAAGAAAACTGCACATAAAACATTCACAAAAGCAAATTGTATGTTCGACGCACGACGGGTGTACACAGTGCTCAGTCCATTCTAGAGTAACTTTATTTCTTTGTATTCTTGGACTGAATGATTTGAGAAAAGCCCCCTGTCTGTGCACCGTTGCAGGATTGTAAGCTCTCTCTCCTGCACTTTTAAAACTACTAAGAGCTCACTCTAAATTTAGTAAGAAGCTGTCAAAGGTCTTAGCAGACACACGCATTAATGTGCTCCACTGTCCTTCCACAGGGTGGCCACACTTTGTGCTGCTTGCCAAAACTGTTTGGACAGTCTGCTACCCTGACCTCCAACTACTTATGGTTATGGTCACCATACTTTTTACAAAACACACATTGGGTCTTGTGCATGATGGTTGCTGCAGGACCTAGGTGGATAAAGTGCTGGGACGGTAAGAGTGTCACAAGTGCTCACTAAAATAGGGGAGTGCAGGAAACCATTATGGAAAGACTTCAGCCTGAGAGCAAACAGGAGCTTACATCTGTGCTTCCTTTCATTTTAGTCTTCCATTACACTTTTATCAGTCGTGGTACAAAGCTGCATGGACTAGAAGAGCAACTTGGACAATAGGCTCTGCATTTCCTGTCTTTTGGATAAACCATGGTTCACTGATTGGACTGCTTGCAGTGCTCCCTGGTTATTAGTGCACAAGGAAACAAGTTTTATGTCACCATTATGTTAATCAAAAGATGTTATGACACATTTCTCACCCTAAAAGAAAATACAAATACATTGTACATTTTTACTTTCACTTTTTTAGCATTTAACATTTTATAAGCTTTTGCATTTGAGAATAAAGCCACTTTATCCAACTGGTCCAACGAAAATCAGAAATGAAATAAGCCCAATCATGTCAAATGGATTTTTAAATCGAAGAACAAAAGCTCTGTGGGGAAATGTCAGAAATGGTCCCTTTTCTCTTAGCCTCTCAAGGAGTGTGTTTGATTGACAGCTGAGCTGGTAGGCTGAGCCCTGGAAAACAAGTTTTCCATAAATGTGGATTGAAAATTAACAGCATTCTGACTAGTGAATGCACAAACAGGGGACACAACCATTAAATACTGTTTCTTTTAAGGAGAACACAGGATTTCCACGTGACTTACAGAGCAGGTATATATGGTGTAGCAACAGAAGAAATGGGACATTTCATTTCAACTGGACCTCAACAGAATAACTTCATTAAAGAATTTAACTTAAATATTGCCAATCAAAAATTATGCATTGTTTAATCAAATTACTCTGAAGCATCCAAAGATCAAGTATTTTCAGCACAATGCAAGATTTCAATACTTTCAAATAATTAGCTAACCAAAGGCATAAGAATACAATCACAGCTTTGAGGATGTAGCAGCAGAGACAAACAGCCGTGGGCCAAAACTGACTGTTGATGGGCTGTTGACACCCTTGGTTCCTGTCACTCTTTTTGCATTTTGTTTATCATGTTGCCTTTAAGTGCCCATATGCTACAGAGTACCAAGCTTTGGAAGCTTTATTATACTTTACCAAATCCCCTGAAAATAAACAGTACTCCTATTCTGAAAATAATTAAAATACATACAGGCCACAAAGTGACCAGGGTCTTTATTGACCTTAACTACAAAGAGTAACAGGCCTTTATTTAAAACAGGCCTATACTAGGGCCTTTGCTTTGTAAGTATATGATATTTTAGCAAGAAGCCTCCTTGCATTCTGGTCTGCTCCTCCTTAAATTTGCTGTTAGTGCTAACTTTTGTCTTGTCATGATCATATCATCAAAAGTATGAAAGTTTGATGGAAAACCTGTAGCAATGATATTGCCAAGAATAATATATTATTAAATTGTGAATTGAGTTCTTGGATGATTGCTGACAGTTTTGGCATTTTGATTTACATGTATGCTCATATTAAAAAGTAAAAAGTAATTACAAATTCTCCAAGTGTAGTTGTGTTGCCTGGTTCATTTTTCCATCAGTGCTTGAGTTACCACATAACTGTGATCTAAACACAATATTAACTGAAATGATAAAGCTATAAAACTAGATTTGGACACTGGTCCCTTTTACAAGGCCTTAAAGCTGGGTAGGTAACAGTTGAGAAACCAGCAAGAGACCTAGATCTAGAGCTAGATTTAGAAAGTAACCAACTGAAAAAAGGGGAGAAAATGCTAAATGAAAGGCCCTCATCATTTCAGTTAATATTAAACTTCATTTGTGGATATACCCAATCTAATAAGCATCAAATTACTTGTAGTCTTCACATTTAACAAGTGTGAAATACAATAGGGAACAACAAAGACATACAGGAAGAGGTAGAAGACAGAAAGAGACACAGTCAGTTGACCTACCGTCTTCTGTGGGGACGTAGATGTTCAGATAAAGGCAGTCCTCGCTCTGCTCCTGCACATAGGTTACCACTGTATCCAAGTTGGCGGTGAACCACACAGGGAGCATATCATTGAGCAAAAAGCGGTCCTCTAAGAACTGAGGACAAACCGGAGCAAACTGAGTAGCATTCCTGATGCTCGGCCAGGACATGGGTGGCTCTGGTGGCTGGAACCTTCGTTCCCCAGTCGGGGCCAGCGCATACGGTATCCCCAAATACTGCTCCACTGGTCCCAGGATCTCATTGGGTAAGGTAACCTTCATTCCCCGCAATTTTCCATAATTGGTTGTGACCACAGGATGCTGCTGGGCCTGAATGGCGGCCACATAGATGGACGCCAGCCCCATCCACAGCAAAAGGTTGGTCTTGGCCGTGGAGTGACAAATCCAGGAAGGGCCTCCGAGCACTGACATGCTCCTTCTGTGCTGAGCCTGAGCCTGGCTGGTTATGGTTATGATCCACCCTTGGGTCTTTGGCACCCCACCCCCCACCCCTCCCCTCCACCAAGATGCTTCCTGTTCCTCCTCAGGCTGTGAGTTGAGCAAAGGAACCCCAACCGAATAAAGCAGCTTTCTCAGAGCTCCCCATTCCGAGAGCCTGCATTTGCAGTTGCTGTATGACTCCCCCTTCCAGAACAGGAGAGGAGTTTAGGATGCTATTGGGTCACCTGGGCTCCAGCTTGATGAGATATCCTGAAAGAGCAACAAAAAAAGCAGAGTTGGTCCACTATCACTAACTTTGTTAACCCATCTATCCCTATAGCCTATGTGCCAAAGTAGTTTAAAAGTACAGTGTGTAACTCATGGCCACATGCGTCAAACAAATACGAGCAGTACTTCTCTCCTCCTCTCTGTCAAATATGTGGAATAAGTACGTAATTTAAAAAACCACAATAACAAACAGCAATGATACTATTTCTAATAGCTATGGTGGATGGGCACATTTTCATAATTCATGCACTTTGTGGCACTTTGTGGCACTTTGCGGCGCTTCCGCCACCTGTGTCTCCCAGACAACAACGATTTCCCACCCAGTCTGCACAGCCAGAGACAGGGAAGTTGAAGTGGTGGCAGGACAAAAAAGTAGCGTTGCAGAGGAACCAGAGGTCAGGAGACTCACTATCTCATTTTGATGCACGGGTGCGATAACAACACTGGACGCAAGCTGTTTAGCATGCTAACTTCAGTGGATATCTCTGCAACAAAATACATAGATGTCTTTGACATGACGTGGTCACTTCTTCACATTGTGATGATAATATTTTCAACTCAAATTCTGGCCATTGCACACCAGATTTAGCCATAGACAATGTTACTTCTCACATCAGCAGTGATTACATGTGGACCAACGGTTCAGTCCAACCAACAATACCGTAAATGTTTTTTGCTATGCAAAATGTTGCTCATTCAGTCCGTCCACCACTTTGAAACAAACAGAAATATCTTGACAAATACTGGATGGATTACCAAGACATTTATTGTCCCCTGAGGATGAATGCTACAGACTGTGGTGATTCCTTGACTTTTCTACCAGAGCCACAAGCAGACTTACATTTTGGTTCAGATTTAAATGTATAAAACTATCACCTTTTATTTAAAAATGGAGCTACCATTTGATCGTAGGTATAAATGACTTAAAGCAATATTATGTAGTTATTTGTTATTTTATCTCTGTCATTGCCACTCCGGGCCCATAGCACCTTTCACTGGAATCCTGGTCAGGAAATCCATCACGAGAATGGTGTAATGCCGAAGAAGATGTTGTCAGGGGAAGCAAGGAAGAGAAAAAGAGAGGGTGAAGAGCAAGAGACCAGAAAAGAATAAATATCAGACAGGCTTTTGTTGCCGTGAGCTGAAAGAGATGAAAGGATGCAGGACAGATGCCGAGCTGGCCTTCTTTCTGTTGGACTAGTATTAGCTGGCTTGCTATGTCTCTATGTTGTTGCGCTTGCTTGACACTAAAAAATTTACATTTTTGTGGGTTTTGGAAAAATGTATTCAAAAACTAGTGGAGAACTGCTGAGGTCTTGAGATTGGTTGCAATAATTTGTTGACAGTCAATTTGCAGGCGTCTTTGCACAAGGGAATTTTTGGAAATCCCTCTGAATCAGAAATCAGCTCTCTGGGCTTGGAGGCGTCTCATAAACATTTGTGTCAAAACTATGTGGCATGCCACCTGTTGATTCAATTTCCCATTAGAGCTCCCATCTCATTTAATTGCCACCAGGTCTTGAGACATTTAGAAAATCTCACGCCTGACTTCTCCAATCCAAGAATGTTGATTAATTACCCTCTCACTCAAATAAAACTGTCAGGCCAAATCAATGATTAAATGTCATGCTGACCAGGGACGACTCTTTTCTGATATTAAATATAAATGAAAAGGCTGCATGACTAAATTAGTGGAATTCTGCTAATAGAGTCAAAGTACATGCCAATCTTTGCAAGCAAGTTTTTTTTTAAATCTGAACAGTTTTCCAGCATTTATTAGTGAAACAGAACCAAAAGGATTCAAGTTGTTACTGGCTACAGCTGCAAGGATCATGTAGGCCTGTCTGCCTGGAAACATATCAGCTTAGACAGGCTGTACAGAGGCTATTACATATATTACAAATATTATAAATATTACAAGGCCCCTAGAGGAATGAGGCCCTGTTGAATATACCCCTTTCAATGGCTCTAAATGTTATCTTTTTAAAAACGCTTTGGAAACTCTGTTTGATAGGGGAGGAGAGAGTCTGGTTTGGGGACCTCAGAATTGCTTCTCAGCTCATTGCTGATGATGTATTGGCTTCATCAAACTGTGAGCTCTATAGATACAAGAGAAATGAGGTTTTCTGGGCACATTGGTAGGAGTCCCTGAGGTAGACCCAGAAATTGCTGGAGAGATTATATTTCACATCCGGCTTGGGAACACCTCAGGATCCCTCAGGAGCAGTGGAGGCTGCTGCATCTTCCTCTAGGAGGGGCTGCTACCAAAAATCAAGCAAACATGTACTTAGGTATCTCATCAGTATATTTACCCAGACTGAAATTGCCCGAAAGGGGTGGTACTCCACGAAACACGACTTGACACTGTGGCTGATTGGACTAAACTATCTCGAAAATTTTTATTATTTAAGGAATTATTCAAAAATTATACTAATTATCACAATAATACTTTTTTGTAGGAGGGTGGTGCCCTTTCGCCCTCTAATGGCAAGCTGCCCCTGCCCAGGAGGAGCTGGAATAAGTGACAGAAAATGGGTGAAAATAGTCCCCAATAAAAACAGCACTGAAACTATATTTGTGAGCTGCAATGGGAGCCATAGACAGTGTAGGGAAGTCAGAAAGTATTGAGAGATGGACAATTGTTGAATTTAGTTTTTTTATTTGTTGATAATAAAGCAATATAGAGTGATGCAAGCCTCAAGTTTTAATTGTAGAATTAAATCACCCTCCAGGTTATCAAGAGAAATTATGTTTTCTTGTAAATTGGGTGAACTAAGACCTAAAATGATTGCCATCCTACCCTCAGGTTCATCTCAGAGCTAGCAGCATAGTTTCCATTGCTACAATCAATGACACCTGCTGACAACTGGCAAACACTGAGGCAAAAATATCTCATCATTTATGCTTTGCTAACAATGTTATGGAGCTGGCAATGAGAAGAGAAGACATTTTTCAAGACTGCAGTAAACAAACCCTAAAAAATATTTCTGAGAAGAAAACTGTTTCTTAAATTCTGGCTACTGCTTCTCTCATCTCTGAATTTCCAAGGAAAACGTCCTTGAAAATGTCTCTTATGCTGGAGTCAAAGAGTCCGAGCAGCCTGCTGCATGCTTTCAGTAAAAGAAAATATCCAGAATACACCGAGAGCCTAAATGGTTAAGAATGAAATGAATACACTTTTTTGAGACATTCTACCAAAAACAGCACAGAGCCAATTGTGGTTATCACCCAGGACACATGGATGACATCATAATCCCTTTCTACCCATGCCACAGTATTCTATACTATATACACACATTCTCTATGCCTGTTAAAGTAGTTTCCATAGACAACAGACGTTTAGATCATTCCCATTCCCCTGTACTTCTTGTCACAGATATTGCAGAGATAGTTTCTGCATCTGTTTTGCATCTATTTCTCTGTGCGCCGCAAGCAAATCTTGCAAGAAAAAACACTGATAATCTATTGTAAATAGTGTAAATTACATTTTGATTATACATGAAATTATGTTATTCTGATAAATGATGACATATGGGTCCCGTGCTTGCCAATCCTTTTGATTTCTTGGTCCCTCTACCCGCTGTTTTCCTGGAGAAAGTTAATGCTGTAAGTTGTATTAACAAGTCTCAGTCCTCCTCTGATGTGGGCCATTGCAATTCTGCAAAGAATCTGCAATTCTTAGGAAGTATTCTGATAAATGTGAGCCCACTGGCCTCATATGTTTTAGGTGCCTTTTTTCACTTAAGTAACATTGCAAAAATCAGGAATATCCTGTCTCAAGATGATGCAGAAAAACAAGTCCACACATTTGTTATTTCTAGGCTGGATTACTGCAATTCTTTATTATCAGGCTGCTGGAATAAGTCCATTAAGCATCTACAGCTGATCCAGAATGCTTGCAGCTTGTGTACTGACAAGAACCAGGAAAATAAATCATATTTCTCCTGTTTTTGCGTAAAATCCAGAAGAGAATATATAATCCTTGTGCTCACCTACAAAGCTCTCTTAATGGTCAGGCACAATCTTATCTTAAAGTGCTTGTAACTGTCCGCTTAGAGTCATTTAAAGTGTATTGATTTCAGTGATTGTGAATATATTTTTTGTATTTGTAAAAGATGTTTTTTATTAGGATTAGGTTGTAAACATGGGCAGATTAGTCCACGCAGGTACCAGTGTATGGAAGATTTTATTGGACTTTAATATTTGTAACCCTCAGAAAACAATCCACAAATGTGTACTATGATGCGCAAATATTTCACTATCTACAAATGTATATTTTTACATTTGTGATGTGTAAAAATGAGTGACTTCTACACACAAAACAGTTTTTGCACATTTGCAGATTGCTTTCTGTCAATTTGTGGGTCATGTTATATTTGTAACTTCCTTTTTACACATTTGTGGAATTTTGTCCAATGTGTACTGCGGAGATCTGTAAAAAAAAAATATATATATATATATATACACAAATATCTCACTACCCAAAACATGTATTTTTACATTTGTGTCGTGTAACACCATATCCACAAAAATACAGTGCAATTTGCAAATATGTACAATTTACTCTGTACACACATATTTTAATTTCACACACAAAGTGTTATTTACGCATTGTGTGGATATATTTTTACACACAAAACAGTTTTTGCACATTTGCGGATCATTTCCTGTCAATTTGCAGGTCACGTTACATTTGTGACTTTCTTTTTACGCATTTGTGGAATTTTGTCCACTCTGTACCACAGAGATCTGTAAACAGAGATCTGTAAATGTGAGAGCAGTTTATTAGCTACACCATCAGGTGGCGGTAGCGACATTGCCTCTCATGAGTTGAAAGAATATCCATTAAAGTGGTAAATCGTCATCGTCAATGCCTTTAGAAGGCACAGCAGAAATTTGACGTCGATCCGACTAAATCCCTAGGAGGAGTTCGTTAAAGTACGAAGTGTGTAAATCATCCAAAAATGGCCATAAAATTCAAA